GTTAGGGTTAGGGTTAGGATCTCGGCCCCCTTCAGTTCAGTTTGGTCCCGATCTGCTTCCACTCGTCTTGTTCTTGTGGTGAATTTTGGGATGGTTGTCTTCAAAAAGCTCAAGTGGAGGTGCTGTGGGAAAAACTCTGCTGAGGCAAAAAGGTTGAAAAACACTGATCTAGGGTGTACCTTGTCCCTATCATGAACATCTCCTTTTTTGTCCTCGCCCAGGTCGTTCCTCCATAGTTCGTCCATAGCTTGAGCATCCTCCCTGCTTTAGGAATGTGTTTTTCACCAATGTTTATGCTCAATGAACAGAGCCGTCTGTGCCTTACTGTGAGCTTCAGACACTACATTCTTTTATCCTCACTTGTTATCTTCTGGACTCATTCCAACACAATTAGCTGTTCTCGTGCCATAATTTTCTGTAAAGATCTGATGGTCAAGCCCCATCAGGCCCAGCTGACCACTTATTCCTGATAAAAGGCTGATCTTCTCATATCTTAAGTTTAAAATCAATGTTCAATTCTATGTTTTAGGGATATAAAACGGCTGCCTCTCCAGTATCTTCTGGTAACCTTAATTTCCTGAGGGAGTCTTCCCAAGGGATCAATAAAGTTCTGTCTAAGTCTAAGTCTCTAAACTCCTGCTTTCTCTTAACGAACAGACGAGAAGTCGAGGAATCCAGAAGCCTGAGCATGGAGAGTCATCAGCAGCAGATGTGAGTGGTTCCTTTACAGATGGAGGAGAATCCAGGATGCAGAGAAGATCCCACTGGGATCTGATCAGATCAGAGCAGCTCTCACTGGTTTGATCTGTTTGTTCTGCATCTGCCTGACGGTTTCTGGACCCTCATGGTCCGACACCTTCAGGTTCAAGGAGATAAAGATGATTTTCTCATTAGACTGCTGCATAGTTCTGTTGTTTAACAGGACATTTTGGCCCACAGGTTGGCTTTGACAGAGAAAGTGCGGCAGCAGAAGGAGATCATAGAAAGGTACCGAGCACACTTCACTTTAGACATCCAGCATGAAGACCCCACCTTCAATATTCTGCTTCACAGTAATCTTTTTGACCTCAAATGAATTCAGTTTCCTTTGAAGGGTGTTGGTCAGGCAGAGAAAAGCCTCTTCTAGAAGTGTGTGTCGTTCAAAAGTAGTTTTGTGGTTAATTCTAGAGACAGATTTGAGCGGAGATTAGTTCAGGATGAGTGAAGTGTTTCCTTTGTGTTTCCAGATATGAGGAGACTGAGAAGTTTGTCATTCAGGACATCAGCAGGGAGAAGTGGGTATTTTTCTGTTTTCCACATTTAGAAAC